ACGTAAGAAGTGCATCTCAATATAGATTATATTTTGGAATATACTATTAGTAAAGAAGTATTGCTTACTTTAATGTAAAAATAGTTGGTATTTGTCGTAAGTATGATAATATAATTTAAATTATAAAACATTAATATCCAATTGTTCAATAAAAGCTTAATTGATAGAAAGATTTAAATTTTAAATATTAGTAAGCATGAAATTTAATTACTCGTTATTAATCACAGAATAATAAGAGTAAACTAACTAATCAAACTTAGTATCTTTTATGATAACTATATTTCTTTTCTATATTATGTATATTCTTCTAGACCCGTTTTTTCAAATTTGAAGTAAAATGTTTAAACTGTTTAAATTTATGCAACATTTTTTGATGAAGATAATTTCATATCCACTTTTCCATTTTCATTTTATTCAGTTATATTAAACTATGAATTTAATTATTGTAAAGTTTTTTTTGAAGATAATAAATAATAAAAATATTCAGTAAATAAAATATTTAAAGCATATAAAAACATTTCAAAGTTTACTCTTGTCAAACTTTATAGTAATTTGGTATTTAGTTAAATTAGAGAGACCTAATTTTTTTTGTTCTTTATTGATTATTTTATGAAAATATATTTCTTGAAAATGTATAATTTGATTATTTTTTATGCATAAATATGTCTTATTTTTTTTAAACTTATATTTGAATGGTTTTTAAAGGAAGCTAAATTAAATAATTTAAACTTAACTTTAAATACACAAAAAATGTTAAAACAGCTATTTTTTAAATAGGTAGTAATGTTTTATCTAGGTTTGAAGTGCAATTTGCGAACTTTAAACTTTAAAGTGTAATATGTTTCAAATTGTTATTTGCTTTATTGTTAAGTTAGAGGAAAATATTTTTAAACGATATGCATGATATATATTTCTATCATTCATATTTTTCACTGTTTTTCGTTAATTATTCTTTGAAAAACAAATTCTTTATTAATTATTTGAATAAATATGGTAATAAAAAGTGTTATGATGCATTTAGTAGCAACACGGAAAAGAATAGAAAAGAAAATTTTAACTTATAGAGTTGAAATGGTTCTTTCCTATTTCATATGAAGTTCAAGAAAAATTACATTTATTTTAAATGGTGCAAATGTTAAGAAGATACTGAATACAGCAAAAAAGCTTATCTATTTTTGAAAGCATAATTTTATGTAATAAATGTGTTGTAAGTTTTAAGCTATAACTAAATGTATAGTATTTTTAAAAATTTGTTAAAAAATAAGTTTTTTTTAGCTTATATAAAAAATTGCATTTGGGCTACAGTATTATATATTTCTGGCTAAAACTAAGAAATCAGAGAGTGTATTGAATTGTATTATTTCCTGAAAACACCGAAAAAGCAGTGGGTGTGTTAAAATTGAGTGCTATTGTAAATGAAATATATTTTATTTGTTCAATTTTTTTCAAGCAATAATACATATATGAAGTTCATATTTTGCTCTTATTTCATTTTTTAAAAATTTTTCTTAATATATTTCCTAAGCGATTTTTTAGTTTGACACATAATCGATGGTAATTTATGTTACTGTAATCTATGTAATTCTAGACTATGTTATGTATGATTTGGATAACATACCTACATAAATATAATGCTTGTGATTGTTTTTTTTCATACCACCGTGTCTACTACATGGTTTGATGTAGTTCAGTTCATTTTAATTTCAAAAAGATTTAAATTAGGATTTAAAAATAAAAACCAAGAGACATCAAATTGTTCATAAACTTCACAGAATACTAAATGAAAGTAAATACCTTTCAAAATAAAAAAAAAGATTTATTAATATAAGTTATAATGATAGATAGTGAAGTACACTGTAAATATTACGGTAAAAGTACCAGCACTCAAGATGCTGGTACTTTTTTCCTTTTTACCTGAACCTGTTTCCCAACAAAAAATCTGATGTACCGCAATTTTTCAAGTTACATTTGCTGCAAAAATCGCTGAATCACTTTAATTAAATAAATAGTTCTGTAACAATTACAGTAAAATATTTTACAGTAAAGTGAATGTTTAGGATGATGCATCTAAAGTGCCAGTACTTATACCGCAATTTGATCCTGAAATTTTTACAGTGCATGAGATTTGAGGCGATCTTGGAACAATGTGTTTTATATTCCAATTAGGTTCATACTATTATCGGTTTCATTTTGTATTACTCATTATTAATTTAGGTGCGCTTCAGAACATTCATTAATTCCATTAACTTATTAACTTATTCACTTATTTCAAGAGTGATCGTGCAACTTTACTTAAATTCTAGTGTTAAAATTGAGAATCTAATACAAATTATTCTTTTTGACCGAAAATGTTCTACGCTGTTATTGAACAAATTTAGTATTTTGAACCAAATTTATCGATATTAGTTATGAAAAAACCATTAATCAAAATCAGACTGTTAATTGTTTCTTCCTTAAATAAAGGGAATTGAAATTACGATGCCAATCTTCGAAGTGTGCCAAGCGTTTGTCCAAAATTTTAGTGCTCTCTTCAGATAAGATAATCTCATCAAGAGTATTGATGGAATAATGTCCTTTAGTTTCAGATTCTTTCATAACACTGACATACTTCTTAGCAATTGGAAAATGTATTTTGCATTTACCAGATAGTAGCTTGTCGAAAAACATTTCTTGCCAAAAATCATCAACTGTACATCTCATATAGCTGCTGCTAAAAAATAAAATTTCTTTCAAGACTTTTTCGTTAGAATTCAACAGAATTTGTCTATATCCTTCTCCCAGGAAACGTGCAATCTTTAAAATGGTATCTTTTGGGTTTGCTGTTAGTGATTCATAGGTAATAAACAGAGCATCGCTGCGCCATCTGCATTTGCCCCAACCAGAAGTAAAATGATCAAAATAATCACCATAACCGATTTCTCCTTTAACAAACAAATTTAAAAAGTCATCGAAAGTGCCATGCGTGAAAAAGTAAGCAGGTAACATCTTTGTGTGTTTGTAGTACGATACAACGCAATCTGAAAAATGTCTTGCGACGTAAATATATTTCCCACGGTGAAAATACTTCAGTCTTCCAGGAGGGATATACGTCTTGATACAACGAGGATTTTGGACATAGCTCAAACTTTCAATTCCAACCATCTCCAAAAGTGGAATCGAAGTGAAGTATTCGTCAGCGGAATATAATTGCTGTCCGTTTCTCAAGATAAGATGAACTATTTGAGAAACGAAAGAGGCACCACACTTGGGGTAACTTGACACAATAATGTCGCTGTCTTCTGGCAAGTACTCCATGGCTGAACGTACTATGTCGGGATCGAAAAAAAGAGGAACTCGTAGTCCATTTACAGTTTGATATTCTGGCTTTCTAGCCATTGTTGTGTTCCTTTTCAGACACTTTTCTGGAAACTAAAAATAAATACTTTAAATATATTTAAGTGGTAAATTGTAACAAAACAGAAAAAAAGTCATAAATGAGAAAAATAATGTCAATGAATTACAAAAATTGTCTTAGAACCAGAGTTTGATCTAATTAATGTGAGTAAAATTTTATATTAAGTTTAAATCATCTAGGACAGGGCCCAGATTATTAGAACTTAGAATAAAGTCCCTCCGCCGTGAACCGATCGACGTTTGATCGACCCGCTGAGGAGGGGGAGGGAGGCGTCGATTGTTTACATTTCAGACTGTTTTGATTTAATAACTTTAATTGTATTTAAACATGCAGTCAAAATAAAATACAATTACATGGTATCGGTATGGCTTTAGGTGACGAGTTAGCTCCGGGTGAACCTCTCGTCCATGGAAAGTTGTACTAACTCGAGTGAATTATACCACAGTAGACAAAATGGAAATAATTTGAAGTCTGTAAGGCGGTTCGGTACTATTTGATCTGCACACCGCCTATCTCGGCTGGATATATATATATATATATATATAGCGACATTCGCTTCACGCACCTGCTGTTCAGAGAAAGGGTCCTAATTGATCCTAATTGGTGAGATTTCCGCAGGAGAATATATTCCACTTATCAGGATTTTCCTGGGCGGTGTGAATTNGGCAAAAAGTACCGTCTCCCATGTTAGGTTGTAATCCGTGTTTTACACACTTTAAAGTTTTCTGTTTGTTTCTTTTTAATCTAACTGAATTCGTTAGTTTCATTTCGTCGTAGCAAATATTTAATAGAGTATTTATAAAGCGTTAGTAAGACTTTCATTCACTCTAATTTGAGTGTTAGAACTAGTAAAATATGTTAAGCATTTCTTGAAATTAAAAGTAATTGTTTAGTTTAATCAAATGGCTTTTATACTATATCTATCTGGCAAATAAAGTAAACACATTACTTAAAATAATGTTACTAATAATAAAATTGCAAGCTTTTGAGAATTTAATAAATGCAATAATCAAAAATTATTTGTGCATTCAACTAAAGTTTTTTTGTACATTTTTGTTATTCTAAAAACTTATTAAAACGTTCTTTAGTAATTTGTTAGGCTTTTGCTCCATATTCACCCAATTAATTTCAACTTCAAAGGCACGCACTTACCTTTTAGATTTCTTTCTCGTTTTTAATGCGTTATGGATACTTATCTTTCATACGTAAATATCATTTACATATAATCCATATAACGAATTAAAAGGTCGTAAGTACAACTAATATTTTTAATAACAATAGTTTTTATAATAAATATTTAGTTTTGAAATAATACTATAATTTTAACTTTGAAAATGTTAAAGTTTCCTCCATCTTAATATTTTGATCTTTCTTGGCTTTCATGTTTGTGAATTTTAAATTTTCTTATTTCGGATTCGGTTTATCAAACTCGGGTTGAATTTTAGATTATCTACTTGAAAATAAAATTGAGATTTTACACTTAGGATGAAATTTTTGATCTAAATGTAAATAAAAACACAAATTATTAAAAATTAAAAAAAAAAACAATCAGCAAAAGATATCTAAATAAATAAATATAAATTAAATGAGACGAAAGTATAATTAATTTTTTTATTAAATATTAAAAGAACCTATTAAAATACAAAGTAAGTAAGGCAAAAGTATAATTCAATTTACAAATCCCTGAAAGAAATTTAAAACCAAGTGTTTGAAATTAGTAATATACAAATGTTTATGTAATAAGCAACCATTGTAGTTCACAATTGGTCAATCATCTGTTATATTTCAGACTGATATATATCAAGTAACTCTGCAAAGCTCAAAAAATGAAGTACTCTACAGTGATTGGGTTAACAATTGATATCAATTTTCATGAAATAATTCCAAATAGCAGAGCCTTCTATCCATACTCTGTCTTTGAAGTATTTTTCCAGTTTTTCAATGTTTTCTTCAGATAGAGTAATATCATCGGGAACATCGTTCAAGAAATGACCTTTACTTTCAGCTTCCTTCACCATCCTGGCATACTTATCAGCAACAGGAAAGTGTAAGTCGCATTTACCGGCTAGAAGCTTCTCTAAAAACATTTCCCGCCAAAAATCATCAACTGTACTTTTCATGAAACTGCTGTTGAGAAATAAGATATCTTTTAAGACTTTTTCCCCACATCTTTTTAGATTCCGAACATGTTTTTCTCCTAAGAAACCAGCTATCTGCAAAATTGCATCTTTTAAGTTTAATGTGAGCAATTCATACGTAATGAACAAAACATTGTCATACCATCTTTTACTGTAACCAGAACTGAAATGGGAAATATAGTCACCATAACAGACTTCTCCTTTGATGAATAAACTTACAAATTCGTCAATAGTTCCATCCGTAAACAAATAAACAGGAAACATCCTTATATGCCTGTAGTAGGATACGACACACTCTGAAAAATGCCTTGCAACATAAATATATTTGGAGTGTTTTTTATACTCGATTCTATCTAGTGGCAAGTAAGTTTTTAAACAGCGTGGACTTGGCAAATTGTGTACAGTTTCTGTTCCCATTAACTCTAAAATTGGAACGGATGAGAAAAATTCGTCCGTAGAATAGCATTGCTGCCCATTTTTCAAAATGAGTTGAACAATTTGAGAGACAAAAGATGCACCACATTTAGGAAAACTCGACACAATAATGTCGTCATCTCCTGGTAAATATTCCATGGCGGTACGTACGATTTTGGGATCATAAAAAAGAGGGACTGGTAATCCATCAATAGTTTGATATAGTGGCATTTTAATCAGGATTTCGTGATTTTTTAAGATATGTAGTTTTGTCCGGAAACCAGTATAATAGAGGAAAAGTTTTCAAATACCTGAAAAGAAGTTTGAACAAAAAAGTAAATTAAAAGCAATCTGATAAGGAAACTGAATAGAATATTACAACATTAATGCACTGTAAAAATAACAGCTCTTTTGCGCTGAATTTGAATATTTTTTCGATTTTATTTTTGCAATTACGCTCAATATTACGCAAAAAAAGAACTATTTCTCAAATTCAACACCTGACTTGTATCCAATAAAAGTTTCAGATAGGAGAGTGGAATATTTGCTTAAGTGTGAAAATCAATTAGTATATTGTTTTCTTAATATTAAAAAAAATGATTAATTGTGCATAATATCTGTCATGTGGCAACTACATTGGGGCCTCGATTCTGGAAATCATATCGAATGATAGAAATATGATGATTTCGATGTATAAATAGCAATTTTGGCATATAGGTTATTTGGTTTTCGTATCTAAACTTCAGTATTCTTTCAGTGCACCGTAAAAAAAATTCGGGATCAAATTACAGTCTACAGACCTGCCAACTACTACGATTTTTGAAAAATATTTTATAGAGTGGCCGATATTTAAAACCAAATCTTTCACAATTTTTCTTAATTTTGCAAACATTTTAAAAGCCTCACCTCGAAAGAGCTAGAACAAAGTGGCGTTGCATTTGAACTTTTAAATAATTTATGTGCAGTGGTGTGGAAAATAAGTTTAAGTCAATAAAATAATACATTAAAACACAAACATAGCAACCATTAGAATGAGTTTTGAAGTGGTTACCCTGAGTATAACTTATCGGTACTTTGTGTACATCATTTGTAAAATATTATACTATAATTTTTACAATAATATTTATTTAATCAAAAAGATTTAGTGATTTTAGGGTAATTATTTCTATAAAAATTACGGTAAATTAAATTTTTTGTTCCTTAACATGTGTCGGTAAAAATGAATTATACGGCAAAAAGTACCGTCTCCCTGAGTTCCGGTACTTTTAAACTTTTCATTTGCCCATAAATCTTTCTTAATTTTTTTTTATATCTTTTCCTTTTCTTTCATATTTTATTAAGATACTTCAAAGTATTCACATAAATTTTTAAAAAAAATATTTAAAATTGTGCTTTGGTAAAACTTATATGATTTGTTGTTGCTTTTGCTTAAGATTTTTTTTTCAGTAATAGCAAAAAAAATATTAAATTCTTTGCTTAACAAGTGTGAACTGAAATACACTACTGGCTATTAAAATTGCTACACCAGGAAGGAATGCAAATAACAGAATGATATTTATTGCTCACATCCATTATAGTTGGAAGAACAGATGATTACATTTTCAAGATATTTGGATGTCCTGAGGAATCAGTACTCAGAGCAGCCTCCCCTGGCAGCAATAACAGCAGTTATTCTCCTGGGCATCAAGTCGAAAAGAGATTGGATAGCTTGAACGGGTACAGAATTCCATGCAGATTCAACATTATGCCACCATTCATTGACTGTAGTGACTGAAGAGTGATGGCATGCCAGTCGTTTGGCAACCATTGCTTAGACGTTTTCAATCGGTGAGAAATCAGGAGAATGTGCTGGCCAGGGCAACAGGCGAACCTTCATGGCGTTTCATATGACCGTAATGAACCCATCGATTCCATATTCTGCTAACAGTCATGAGATATCGACCAATACGAAAAGTAATACTTCGGTATGATAAACCGCACTTCCGGTAGGCCACAATTCAACCTCGATCAAACTCAGGTACGTGCTGGTAGGCATTTTTCCTTTACACGAGGCATAACTGAACATAACTGAAACTTCTTTTACCCAAGAACAATGCTCAAATTCAATTTCTGTATGAGAAACTTACAGTCAAATCTCTTATTTTATACACATTGTAGGTATCGCTACCGCCACCTGCTTTACATGAATGCGCTGATAAGCAAATCATTTGCATACCACAGCATGCTTTAGCCGTTCTGCAAATTTCACGTTTGTGGTGTGTCGCCTACCTGGTGTAGCAATTTTAACAGCCAGTAGTGTATTTTTTTCATAGATCATATTTCAATATTTTACTAGCTAGCAAATGAAACACATTAACTTATTAATATCTTATTGGAATAAATTAAAAAATCGTAATATAATTACGTTTACATATTTTTCATCATTACTTGCAACATTTTAGGTCAGCCCAGTTTGTCCTCAAACGGATCCTCAATACCTAAAAATTGTATATTATCCTATAATGATATTGCTTACCATATAATACTAAATTGCTTAGACTTTAAAATGGTGATTTCAGAAAGTAAGAGTTAAAAAAACGCACCATTCTAGCATAAGTTGGAATAAAAAAAAATTGGGTTGTTTTTGTTTATATCATCAAAATAGATTTTAATTTCTTTTAACGACAGGTGCTGATGAGCCTGCCGTACGCACATGAAAAATGCTGATATTGAAAATTATAATATTGCATTTATGGAAATGTTTATTTCTTTACTTAGAATAATAACATTTAAAACGAAACGTTTCTACAAAGGAAAAGTTTTGTTATGAACAATTTTCTGGCGCTCTTTTTGGAAAATAGGAGTTAAAAAAAGGGTGTCATTTTATCATAAGTTGGCATATAAAACAGTTTCAAGTTCTTAGGTTTTTGGGTAGGAGTTTGCTCATATTAGAGTAATGAATTTTATTTGCTAACTTAGTGCTACTGGACCGACGGTACAGCTTTAAAAAAATGATGATAATAATAATAAATGTTTTTGTAAGAACAATCTTCTGACGATGTTCTGGTAAAATTAGAATTTAAACTCACAAGAAAATTAGGAGTTTAAAAAGAGCGTGCCATTCTAGAAGCAGTAGGCGTATGGGACGTTCTGCGTAATATGGTCTACGTAATAAATTACGTAATAACGTCATACGTAATAAAGTTCTACGAATATGGTAGCCTTCTGAATATATAATCAAAGTAAACTTAATTTAAAACAGATGTTTCTGGACCAACAGAAGCAGAGAATTAAAAAAAGGTTTAAATAAAAAGTATCCTTTTTTTATATTGCTTTGCATAAATTATTTTTTAATGTTCATTCGATGCAAGAAAAAGTATTTTTTCAGAATTCTGATTTATTCCATTAATTTTCTCAAAAAAGTCTAAAAAAATGAGTTTTTTATCGCATGATTGGCCTCATTCCTTTTTGAGAATTCCTTTTTAAGAATATTTAATAAAGCTAATTATAATTGTAATAATTAAAATTCAGGATAGAGTTATAATGTAAGTTCAAAAATTTAAATAGCAGGAAAATCTAGCATGAAAATTGTTCAATAAAGTAATTTAGAATTGAATTTTATACATAAGAAAAAAATACCCTTAAAATGTGCGCTTTAATCTCATATGATATGAATTTTTATGGATAATTTAGAAAGTACCATTAAAGGAGGACTGTGTACTTGCCATTAAAAATCCTTTTGAATTTATCTGCAAATCACTAAAAGTTTATTAGCAAGAACGAAATTACCTATTAAAAGATTTTTTAATAAAACTTTCAAACTAATTTTAGAGATTTGAAAATTTCCGTAACATATGTTGAGATGTCACTCAAAAGAATTAGGCTTATCGACAGTGAAGGTAGAAAGCTGTGCCAAAAAATTTTCTCATAAGCTGAAATCCAATTTTGCTAAAAGAAGTTGATCGTTAACGAAATTTACTTATGAAAATATTATGTTTAATCAAAACATGATTATCTAAGAAAACATTTTTCTTTGTCGTTCTTTGAACAATGTCTGGATAATGAAGAAGTTTGTTTTCTTCTAAATATATTTAAATTCTTCTAAACAAATTAAATTCTTCTAAATAAACTTAAATATCTTTTTCGTATTCTTTACAAAAATAATTCCTTATAATTGTTTTTAAAGTCACACAAGTTTACAGTAATAAGTGAGTTTCGTAAATGCATTAATTTACGTAACGAAAAGTTTCCATGGAGTTTTGATAAAGTTAGTTTAATAACTTGATATTTAGTTTTTTTTCCTAACTTAGATTTACATAGAATAATAAATTTGCTACCTAATACACTTGCCATTGTCTGTTTAAAGGCAAATAAATACATAATTATTTTCATCAGCCTCTCCCGAAAATATTCTGTTGAAAGCAAAATATTAATGGTCTTTGAGAAACCGAAAGAAGCTATGTTGCGGCAGATATGAATGTTATTATTTAAAGTAGTTCCTTTACACTGCGCATGCGAGTAAAACTAATAATTTTTTTTCTTCTGAATTTTGTTGAGAATAATATTCAGTAATTTATGAAAAACTACGATTTGAATATCTTGAAAATTTAACAAATTTCGAGCAATTTTCTAAGCTTTTGAAAATTTTGAAAGAAAGCTGTGAATGATTGGCTTCTTCCGCAAATTTCATTTAGTATCATAAAACGAAATTTAATAAATGAATAAAACCCTTTAATAATTGTTCAGACAACGAAACGTGATGGTATAAGAAAACAAAACGTAAGGCAAAAATTTAAAAAAAAAAAAATCTTCATATCTCCATTAATATCAAAGATAGGTTTATGAAATTTTGTGCAATTATTGCATATGAAAACCGAAATAATCGATTCAAGTTACAAACTTATTGCTATATTTTATAGCTGAAGGCGTTCAAAAACATTCTTTTTGTTCGTAATTTCGTACCAGTCTTCAAACTTATGAAAACTTTAAAGTATACTGATAAGTATAGGAAATATAATGTCCTAAATGTATAAAATAATTTTTTAATTATTTCATGAGAAAATTGAATAAAAAAAATGCCAAAAACTGTAAGTGTCTCAATCATTATTGTAGGGTAAGGAACTTAATTACTCATTACAAAATATAATTGATTTTAAGGATTTCTAAGAAAATAAATTTAAACTTTATACATACCATACATTTACAGAAAAAATCTAAATGCAAGAAAATGTAATGTAAGAAAAGATATCCGAATATAGATAAAAATAATTGAAGAAATCTTGCAATTTTTAGAAGTTATGTTTCTTTAAAACACAAAACTGAACTCGGGAAG